AAGGGGAGGCCCCTAGATCTGTAGTTTTCAAACACCCTCCAAGTGGCTAATAATCAGCTTAGTTTGGGGGCCTCTGGCCCACATGGCACAGCTTCCCTCCCCCCCCCCCTCGTGGGGCAGATTCCTCTCCTTAACCCACGAGGGGCACAGCTTTCTAGCATAGCTCAAGATGGAGTGCAGAGAGCACAGACAGGGAGCCATCCTGCGCTGCCACTTCCTGACTCGGACACTTAGCCCTGTAGCCCAGCCTCACAGAGCCTCGAGGCTCAGCCTCCAGGAGGCATGCAGGCCAGGGTCGTGTGGGCTGATGGATATGATGCCTGGAAAAGGCCTGGCATGCAGTGGGTGCTCAAAAGCAGATGAAGACAGATGGGCACCGGCAAGGTCTTAGCCTTTATTAAGGTGCAGGTGCAGTGTTCTCTTCCCAGAGAGAGGTTCTTGAACCTTCCCTTGCAGCCCCTGTACATGGGACCAAAGACCGACTTGTGCATTTGATAAAATTTATGATGCTGACACCTCTAAGTGAATGTTTCTGGGGTCTTCGGGCTGTGTGACCAGAACAGCCTCAGTGGCTGTTAAAATTTGGGGGTTGTCATGGTCTAGTTAATCAGGGAAGAGTCTAATTAGGTGGCTGAGGGAGGGAAAAGCATGATTTGCTTTGACTGTGACTAGATAGAACATTCTGATATCAAAGGAAATGCCAGAGGCATTTTTGAAAAAATTTTTAATTCTTTCATGATTTGGCAGGTAATTATGATAATTCTTGGGATTTTTCACAGACTTAAACGCTTTTTCACAGCCACATTATTTTTGGAAATAATCTTCTCTGATGCTCCAGCTGGAATGGATTGCTCGTCTCCTGAAGTTCCAAAGGCATCGTCTTCCAAAGCCCAACTCAAATGTCACCTTCTTGATGACATGTTCCCCCGTCCCTTATGCCAGGGATGCCAGGCAGGTGTCTTCCACAGGCCAAGGTGCTGATCACTTGGTAACGGCTGCCCCAGTGTTTTCTTGAGGAGGCAGTGTGGCAAGCAGCTAGTGATGTCTGCCAAGGGCTGGAGGTGGGAGATGGGAGGTGAGCCTGCTTAATTTTACTGATCCCTGTGGTTGAGCATTTAGGTAGGTTCTGGCCATTTGGAGCTAAACTGGTGCTTCGGGCATGGGGTCAAGTAGAGGGGCTGGGTAACTCCCAGAGGTTTGCCAGGTCCCAGGTGAGTGACATTAAAGGTTTGTTAGGTGTTGTCAAATCACCTGTGACTTAGACTTTGTGAATCTGTCTACGTGCCGTCTTTGTTCTCTCTGGGGGAGGACTTCCCTGACACCCCGTCCTCTTCCCCAGCCCTTGTCTCTCCCTGAGCTCTAAGTTTGTCTGACCTGTAGGGTGTGAACCCCATGACATGCCTGCCTCCCCCCACCACAGCTAGAATAGGGCCTGCCACATGATGAGCAGTTCTGTTGGTGACATTTCCTCCATGGGGCGCAAGGAGTCTCTCACCATAGCTGAGCTCCTTGCTGTGGCATGTGTGGCCACCTTGCATCCGGCCTCTGCAGACATCCTTTTCCTCTGCTGCCCGTCCATGCCATCACCCATCCCGTAAGGCCGGCCCTCCTTCGCTGAGCGCACACCACACCCAGCCCAGACCCATTGCGGCCGCTCATGGCTGCAGCGGTGGCCCCGCGTAGTGGGTATGGTTAAGCGATGCGCAGCAGAGCACGCTGTAGGTGATAGAGCCCTAGCTTGTCTTGCACCAGAACCTGAGCCCTTGGCTGTCTGTCTCAGGTGCCCACGCCACCGCCAGCAACTTCGGGGCCTTGGCAGCCGTAGTTTCCTTTGCTGAATGTGCCTTTCTCCTCCTCATCTGAGGGCGGCCTCCTCGAGCTCAGCACGTTTATGGGACGTAGAAGGTCTGAGTGACTTCTTTAGATGCCAAAGGTGGGGGGCCAGTGATGGGGTTAGAGAGAGGCTGGCACCAGATCAGCGGTGTTTGGGTTTTATTTATCTTTAGGGCAGTGGGAAGCATTGAAGCTTTTAAACAGCAGGTGACAGCCTCCGATGTTGCTTTGGGAAGATCACTAGGTCTGCTTGGTGGAGGAGGGACTTGAAGGGTAGCTGCTGATGTCCCTCCCTCCCTGTTCCCTGTTCTCCATTCCTCTGTGGTTGCTGAGAGTCGGGAATGGTCAAGTGGGACCTGTAAGTGCCTTCAGAGCCTCGTAAAAACTCCAGCAGGCAGTGCTCGAGCTTCCCGCTTTTGTGTTTACGATCTCTGCCTTGGTCCTGAGATTCTGGGAGACTTGAATCCGTTTCTCATAACATTAGACATGGAAAGAGGCACTCCCGGAACAGTCTGCTCGGCCTGCTTTATGTAAGACCAACGCCGTGAGTCTCCGCACCGTATGTGGGGATCTCTAATACGGAAATTCCGTTTCGGAGCCTGGCTGAGAAACAGTGAACCTTGTAGTTTTCATGGCTACTCGAAATGAGTGCATAAAATTTTGTCTCGTCTGTTCCACCGGATTTCCTCTTCTTCCTCCCTGCCCCTTCCCTGGTGAAACGAAAGCTTTGTCTGACATGGTCAATTCACTCTTGGGGCTGCAAAAGAGAACCAGGGTTTTGACAGCTCATGATAAATACCATTCAAGCTGGGATGTTTCAGTGTTTTATGCATTTATGGAAAATTGCTTTAACACTCAGGCTGCACTGCAAAACAAAGCAAAACAAAAACAAAGCAAAAGCCCTGCTTTGCTTGGGAAATGACAGTGGCATTTATGTAAAGCTCAATGTTGTGGGGGCACGTTAGCAGGTATTTAGCAGTGATCCTGGCACTGGGGTGTGTTTCCTGCTAACTGTGTGGTTACAGATTCTCAGGCCTGAGGAGGCTCATGGAGAATTTATGTGATTTCTGTGTGGAGGATCTGCGCACACACACTTACTAGTGACACTGTGTTTGTTTGTGAAAGGCCAAGACAAGATCATCTTCTGCTTTTTTTTTTTAAATATAAAAGGACTAAGGCGATGGAGAAATAGTAATTTTAGGTCTGTATAAAAACGAGGCTGGTTAGAGGCTCCGTGACTTAGTCTCCCTTGTTAATTGCATGGTACTTGCAGTGTCTTTCCTGCCCTTCTCGCCTTGTGTTCTGCCCTGGTTTGTGAGAGGTGGGCACCTGAGGGACGGGGTCGCCACGGACAGAGCGGGGTTTCACGTGGCAAGTCAGGGAAGCCTCAGGATTGGATTGGGAGCCTGGTACGTTTCATGTCAATTGTACCGCGGCTGCCTTTAGTTTCAGGCCAAGAATTTTAATTCTTTTAAAGAGCCCAAGTGATTATACCTGCTGGTAAATGGAAGCGTGTTCATGATCAGGAAACTAAAAAGTAAGGAAAAGTAGAAATAATGGAAAGAAGATCTGTCCCTTGACTAATGTTAACATCTTGCGCATTTCCTTTTATGCCTTTACCTTTTATATGACAACATATCAGAGGGGAAAAAAAAGGAGGGCTCTCCTTTACTCCTCCTGAGGTATCAGGACTTAGGTTAATGATCCTTTCTTTTCCCATAAACTGTGTCCCTAGATCCCTTCTTTATTCTGACCGTATGTTTTATATTTTATATACACTACTTCTTACAAGTGGTCTGGTAGTATTTTTGTCTTAACTAGTGTTAACTTACACTAGCTGCCTGGCTGTAGTCTGTGGTATGTAGAGGGGGCTCTCTCTTGGGAAAAACAGGGAGACAGGGTTGGGTGAGGGTCTCTTGACCTCTGCGTTCTCGAGGGATCCTCTTTTTTTTGTCGTTTATTTTTGAGAGAGACAGAGGGTGCAAGTTGGGGGAGGGCAGAGAGAGGGAGAGTGAAAATGCCAAGCAGGCTCCACATCACCAGTGCAGACCCCAGTGTGGGGTGAACCCACAAACTGTGAGATCATGACCTGAGCCGAAGTTGGACACTTCACTGACTGAGCCCCCCAGGTGCCTCAAAGAGGGATTCTCTTCGAGATACTGGCAAGATTCTTCTGTGAAGGTTCCTGAAGGGCATGGCAAGATGACATCACATTTCTCTAAAATGTTTCAATAAGTTATAGTTGAATTTGATTTTAAGCGCCTTCAAGATTACTCATGTAATCAGAAAAATTACTTTGTTTTGACCATACAGGGTGGGGGGGGGTATCTTTGTAAACGAGTGGCTGGAAAGGTCTGTTGTGGATTCTGTATGTCAACCCTATGGCAGCCTTTGTTCTGTTTCTTTGGGATGAGCCAGCAGTGTTGAATAAACGTGCAAACATTCGAGGGCTCCCCATCGGCCACCATTGAGTGGGCTGCACGTGGGGCACCGTGGAAGTGGTAGAATTGTGGCAGGTGGCCCAGTGGTCAAGAGTCGGGGTACTGGAGTCAGTCCTTCATTAGCAGTATGACCTTGAGCCAGCTCCTTGCACTCTGTGACAGCCTTTCCCTTCTGTAAGGGAGGAATGACGACACCTGCCTTAAAGAGCCCGTGTAACAAAGATGTGAACAGCACATGGAAAGGATTTCCCTGGCATTGATTCAGCAGTGGCCGAGGGGTAGTTGTGCCATTGCACTTACGTCTGTCATCATCACTGTCACCCTCACAATGAGTTCTGGTTCTGTTTTCTCAGTTTTTACAACCGAGTTCCTGAGGAACAGAAATGGTCAGTTACTCTTGCTGTGCCATCAGCAGGGTAATCTGTGGCAGGCACAATGCAGATGAACAAGAAAGTCGTTGTTAGAAAAGTGTCCATGAAGGAGAAAACCCAAGGCCCCAAACGACGTGATACAGCACCGTCCTGACCACGAACTGTGGATCATTGATTCTGTAGTGTTAAAAATCAAATCAAAGCCGCGTTCAACTTACAGGTGGATTTACCCCACTCATAGGGAAATGGTGTTCTGTCTCCAGCCCAAACCACCTCCCAGTGCCTTGCTGACAAGTGACGGGGAGGAGGGGGAGTCTGCCCTCGGAGCCTCACTCTTCGGTGTTGTGTGTTGCAGGTGGCGGAGATGCACGGCGAGCTGATTGAGTTCAACGAGCGCCTGCACAGGGCCCTGGTGGCCAAGGAAGCCCTGGTTTCCCAGATGAGGCAGGAGCTCATCGACCTGCGCGGGCCGGTGAGTGCTCCCACGTGGGAAGGTCCCAGCCTTGCTTCCTGCCTGCTCTGTCCGTCTGTCTGCCCAGCCTCTGCTGCCCACAGCCCTCCTCTTGAGCTTGCTCATTGTTGGCAATGTCAAGGGTATAGAGGAGTACAGAGAGGGAAAGAGTGAGCTTCCGTGTACCCACCATCCAGATGTTCTGTGTGCATTAACCTTCACCACACTTGGTTTTCTTCTGGTGCGAGGGGGTAGAATAAATGCGATGATAAGCAATTCCATTGGAAGCCCCCCTTTGTAACACTTGATGTCCCCACACCCCATAATCAATACTCTGAAATGGGTGTATAACCGTCTCTTTCCTGACTTTATACTTTGCTACATACATACATTTCAAAGAGCAGTAAGCAGTCTCGGTTTTGTTTAACTTTTACCTACATGATGTTATTTGTGTAAATCTCGTTGCCCCTTGTTGTAGCTGGTTTTTAATTCAGTATTGTGGTTTGAGGGCTGCCTCACAAAGATCTAGTACAAGATTTTTAAACCGTGGCTCTCTTGATACTTGGGGCCTCTTACGATGGTCCCCACCTAGCTGTGGTCCGCTTTTCATGGTCTGAAAGCATACAACCCTCCTCATGAGCGTGAGAAGGTCAGTGGTAACCTAACGCTACATCACAGCGCCCGCGTCCCCCATCGCACTTGATCTCATCACCTAGGCCTTGTATCATTGCACATCATCACAGAAGGCGGCGAGTGCAGGACAGTAAGGTTTTAAGAGACGGGCTGCACTCACAGGTGGTGCTACATACCTCCGGTCAGGGTGCACTTGAGCATTGGTATGGGGAGGCATTACGTCACAGCAGACCCCGTTTGTTCATATGACACCAGCATTTGTGTGTTCCCTCTTTGCTTCAAGCCCCATGGTGCAGACCCTGACTGAGTTTGTTTCCCTAGCTCCCTGCAAGTCTAAGATTTGTACAAGATCTCAGTGGAGTCCTTTCATTAGGGAGATAGATGACTTCCTACGAGGGAGGCATTTGAGTAATATGTGTTGTGCACTAAGAACCCTCTGTGGCAGGTGATTCCGTCTGTGTTGTATAGGTTGACTGAGGCTCACGACGGTCCCTCAGTCTCTCAGTATGTTGTGGAGCTGGATTCAGACTCAGATTTAATCACAAAGTCTGTTTTCTTTCTTCTGCTCCATCAGCTCTGGGGAATTCGGCGGAACTGGTGAGGGGGGCTTCCCTTGTGTGACCCATTGCCCTCCTTCCAAGCAAGGTCCCAAGGGTCCTTCTGCATGTCCTTCCCAGCTGTGCCCCATGTTAAAGACTTGGGCTATGTGCCTTCTCATTCTGCTGCGTCTGTAGCTGAGGAAGCACAGTGGGGTTGTAGTAATGGATGGAGAACTCCCGGCATTGACCTGTGTTTCAGAGTGTGAGCAGAACTGGTGTGGGGTTATGCCTGCCCAGTGCTAGACGCCCTGGCATACTCCAGGGCCCACCGTACGGGAGGGGTACTTGATGGCAGGTGCAGACCCGGAAGTGCTCCCCTTCCTTAGGGTAGCTTGTTTGGATCCTGCAGGAGTCATTAGATGTCCTTTCTGCTGAAGGAAAGATAGGCAGCCCCATCACCACAGATGCATTTTCAGAGCACACCTTCAGGGCATTATTCCCCGTGTGAATGATGAAAACTATTAACCAGCTGATAGAAACAAGCTACTCTGATTTTAATAGGTGACATTTATTGAGTAATTGATGTCTGCTCCAAATTTAAATACCTCTGAAGTATTAGCACTCCATTCAATCCTTACTGACCCTACTGGTAATTACTATTATGATACCATTTTGCAGAAGAAGCAGCTGAGGCTTGGATAGGAAGTAACTTAGCCAGGCCCCTACGACAAGAAGTGGTGGGTCTGTCTGCCTTGAAAGACTGGGGTTTTCTTTAAACAATTGAAACTTGCAAACCTTTGGACTCTTGACACATCTTGTTATACCCATGCTAAAAAGTCAAGTCGCATAAGAACCTTTAGTGGAAAGTGAATCTCCCTCTTATCACCAGCCCCTCGTTTTTCTGCCCTGAGTGTTGACTTTGTCTTTGCAGAGGTGAGGGACGCCAGGGGGACTCACCTGCACACTCCTACGTGCTTTAGTAACTAGTTGCCTGCTCTATCCGTTGCTCTGTATATGACTCCCCCACCCCCATTTAACAATGCACTTTTTAAATTTAATTTTACATGTAGATCTACCTCAATCTTTTAAAGAACAATGTCACATTCCCTTAATCTGGCCCCTATTGATGCCTATTGAGTTGTTTCTCATTTTTATTCCCGTGGCAATGTTCACATAACATTCTTGTGAAATCCTACTTTTGGATTAGAAGGTTATGTGGCAGTCTGTGGGGGCTCAGCTCGACCGGGCGAAGCCCCCCGGAATCTTGCCTTGGAAGATTTCCAAGGCATTGGGGGGGACCGCCACCTTCTTCCGTCCTCCCTCTCCTCAGCTCATTGGAGCAAACCCGTCTGGGGGGCCAGCATCCATCACCAGCTCACGATGCTTCAAGTTCTGACACTGGGTCAGGCACACATCGGGTCTTCGTGTTCATTCTCACTTAATTTTGGAGAGAAGCCTGTGAATCAAGTGGGGGAAGAATGTCACCCTCTTTTATAAATATAACAACAGAGGTACAGAGGGCTTCGGCCCCGCCTGCCGCCTTGTTGCGGGACACCACAGTCGTTGGCCTCCAGCGCATCGGTCGCTCGTCTTGGGCTCCACGTCCCTTGCTTCCTCGTTCTGTGTGGCCTTAGCTCCTGCTCTTCCCTCAGCCTGGAAGGGACGCTCAGGTAACAAGCCGTCAGTATCAGCTGCTTGCGTCCTCAGGAAAGCTTGCCGATGCCCCCGATAAGGCCAGCTGTCCCTGTGGCTTATGACGCCTACGTGCCTGTCTCCCTTCTCTTAATGTAATTTTATGTGGACCCGTCACTGAGCGGTATCTGTCTTCCCTGCCACAGGAGAACAGAGTCTGTGTCCCCTGCTCCCCTGGGGCCCATTGATTCAATTAGTAGGTGCTGAGTTTGTGTGGGGTGGCTCATGGAGTGAATAACTGGATGAATGAATGAAAGTCCCAGGTAGGAAGTGGTGGAGTCCAGACTTTGCCTGGCACCTTTGACGCGCAAGCCCACCTTCTCTCTGCTACAGGCCACGTTTTTGTCTCCCGTCTGAATGTCCTTCGAGGCAGTGACAGCCATTCACACGGAGGGAGCTCTGACTGTCATGGATCCTTTGCTGCGGGCAGGTTGTGCTGGACACAGGGAGGAGAGAGAAAAGCGGTCATTTAAGTGCCTTAAGACCGGGAAGAGCTGGCAATTTGGGCAGTGGTCCCCAGGGCACGCTTGACCTTGTCATGGCCTCAGGCCTGCTCTGTTTATCCCCAGAGTCCGACAGCTAGGGCGAAGGCAAGGAGGAAGTGTGAAGCCCAGCTTCAATTCCAGAGCCTTCTCTTCCTCAGTGAGAGGCGTCTGTTGTGGGAAGCTCAGGCTCCCCTGCGTTCATCTCCGCTCGGCCCGGCTGTCTGCTGACGGTGGGTGAGACCCCCTCCTCCAGCACCGGAGCCGCAAGGGCAGCGCGGGCTTTGCTGTATTTGGAAGTCCCAGTCGACGCTTCTGGCAAGTGGGAGTAACCTGGCTCCCCTGGGCAGCTCGATGGGGGGTGTGCTGCAGGGGCCCCACCCACTGCCATGTCTGAAGCCCCCGGGCCTCATGCTACGGTGCCCTAGTAGGTGCTTGCTGAGTGTCTGCTGAGCTGGACTTCATCTGCCCGGAGCCTAGGAGGACTGGGTGGCTCGGATCGTTGTTTTCAGTTAGCAGCAGGGACGTCGTTTGCTCCCACGGCTACCTTTTTGTGATGTTAGACTTTGAAGCCAAGTCGCTTATTTAAAGAATGAGTTTGGGATTAGGGGTTGAAGTTTTTTCATTTTCTTTTTTTGAATGTAAGTATTTTTAGGACTCTGCTCATTATTCTTTTTGTCCCCCCTCTGGTAGAAGATGTGAATGAATGCCGGCGCATTTTCTTTTTTTCTTCTTTTTTCTTTTTCCACTTTTAGTGGGATTTGATTACAGCCCTGAGAATTCTCCAGGAGAACAGCTCCTGTTGTGAATAATGAATGGAGATAGGGAAGGAGAGCCTTGTGAGACTGCGAGGCGGGGAGAGCTCCGGGCTCAGCTGCGCACCCTGTGTGGGTTCGTCCCCACTGGGGAAGCCGGCTTGGTCTCACTTGACATCATTGAAGTTGGATTCCTCCTGTCTGTCTTCTGCCCTTGCGGCGGGTCTCTGTTTCTCCCTCCTGAGCAAGCTTTAATTGGCCTGCCCCCCTGGAGGCGGCAGAGGTGGCCCAGCACGGTGTGACAGGAGGCTGGCTGGCTCCCCGCCACCCCCCCTCACCTGTTCCCTTGCCTGTGTGCCCGGTGTCGGTGTGCATTCACGTCCTCTCCCTGCGGCCGCAGCCATGTATAACGCACGTCTCAGGTCCAGGGGTCAAGCTAAGCTGACGGAGGTGCCCAGAGTTCTCGGGACCCAGCCCGAGGCACCACCCAGTGCACACCGGGCCTTTCTCTCTTGTCAGTACTGAGTCTCTTCCTTTTTCATTTTCCTTCTTCATTTCAAGCAAAATTTAGCGTCTGATGTGCTCTATGCACCACACACAGTGGGTATTGAAGGTTCAGATTCCTCTGTGGGTCCCACTCCGTACCTGCAGATGAATCTGTCCCTTTCTTGGCTCCATCTCATTTCAGACATCAAAGTGGTTTTTGTTTTGTTTTGTTTTGTTTTGTTTTGTTTTGTTTAAAGCATACTAAACACTTCATCTTAATCTCAGAAAGGGCTCTTTGGGAAATTCAGAATCTAGAGAAGGCAGTTTCCCATAAACAGAAGACCGATTCCGGGGCGGGGGGTGGCGTACAAAGCCGGTGCCTTTAGGAGGGCGGAGTGCCGGTGGTGGAGCTCCGCAAATGTTAGATGGGAGCG